TGACGTGGGGAAGCCATGCTGCTGGGGCCAGCGGGATTTGTGACAGGCTGTGTGTTCCTAGGGCTCATTGGACACTGTAGCAGGGGTCAGCAAGGGTCATGGACAGCCTCCTCCAGCCTTTCAATCCAAAAGTGCCCATAGATCCTAACAGGGAGCCACAGACAGGAGAGAAATGCTCCATTAGCCGAGCCTCGTTTAAACAGCCACATCCTGGCCATTGCTTTGCCACCTCCCAACCCCCAGCACTGCAGCCAAGAGACCCCCGTGGTCTGCAGCGACCCATTTGTTGCCTGTGAGACTGCTCAGAGAAGGAAGCCCAGAGCAAAACACGCAGGAGACCCAGGTGCAGCAGCCAAGAGGGATGTCCGCCCTGGGAGCTAGGAAGCTGCCCCTGCCCTAGGAGGCTCCCACGCAAAGATGCTGTGATGGCCAGAGACAGGGGGTGATGGAGCAGCACACCCACTCCACGTTGAACCCACTTTGGAAGGGCAGTGAGAGCTGAGATGGCTGCCAGGAGCCGGCCAGCAGGGGGCTGGTGGTGAAAGGTGCAACACTCTGGGTTCAGTTTTATAGAGGAGAGAAAGCAAATGCATGGGAACTCTCTTCTAATCATATCTCAAAAGAGCAGGGCTTACAGGGCCACACAGCAGGCCCATGGACGTGCCTGGTAGTCATTCATCTTTACTCCTTTCCTTGTCCAAAGAACATCGTTCACCAAGAGGGAAAATGACCCCTGCCTCACTGCCCAGCTCTCTCAGCAGCCATCCACAGCTGGTTACACTAATCCCTACACACTGTCATCATTTAAAGGCAACCGTGGTTCTTTCGGGTAGTTTTACACATACCCACAAACCCTACTCCAGCGCTGGATGCAGAGGCAGCTGCTCTGCTCCAGGGCAGCACTGGAGCTGTGGCTCTGGCGTTGATCACAGACTGGGCTGCTGTTTCCACCTTGTGACAGAAAGGCTTTGCTGGCAACCAGGGAGCTCGATGGTGAAGAAAGGGGAGACCAAATGAAAAACCAAGGCAGCAGGCTCCTACGGTGGTTGCGCAGAGGACATGGCTGCAGTGGTGCTTCAGGTTTTACTCCCTCGTAAAAAGTTCCTCTGTGGGAAGGAGCGGGAGCAGCACATCTCAACACCTTGCAGACTTAGGAAGGGAATCCCCCCCGTTTCATCCACTGCTGTCGCTTTTCCAGCTTTCTGTCGTGATGACGGGGATTCAAGGGAGAGGGGATGTTGCTGGAAGCCCTTGACTGTGGGCCCTGTCACCCTGCTCTCATCTCTCTAACCCCCATTTTCTGTTGGAGCCAGGCAGGCGGGTGTAGTTTCTTTACCCCCCACTTGCATGTCAGCTCCTTCTCTGCTACCTTTGACTCTCTCAGCGAGGCTGGCAGAGCCCAGCCGAAAGGAGCACCGCCCCT